GCTGCTTTGAGCTGCAAAGAAAATGTGATACATTTTGAGACAAGTTTAGGGAACTACACTAGACTCAGCAGCAGTGATATTCAGTAAACTAATACCACACTATGATTTTCTTCATCTTTATGTTCCCTAAGACAGAAGCAGCATCAGAGAAAATATTTGGCTTGTGTCATAACACATTTATCACTAGGAGAAAGGTATGTATTTCTTGCCACTTGCACACGTACACATACTTCCACATGTGTACATATATGTACTTATTGCTATATGGGCACATCTATCCCTGTGGTTGAAAAATGTTTCTATCAGAACCTCTGAAGTAATAATACTCAGCCTTTAGGTTTCATGCTGAGTTCAGCTGCCTTATGGGCCCAGCTTCATCTGTAGAGACTTGTTATTCAGAGGCAGAAATGAACTTTCCAGGTAAGGGAAGCACAGTGCACAGGATGATGGGTGGAGTAGGAGTCAGACTGGGTATATTGGTGGGGAGAATTCTCTTCCGTTCACTCTTCTGTGGTATGTTTCTTAACATCCTATTGCAACACCAGTGGTCTGAAAAGTCAGCAGTAAAATCATGTGGTAACCACACCAGTATTGCTAAAGTTAGTAAAAAATTTCCACTTTCCATGAGGTGAAAATACAAAGTCTGCTGTCTGTTTTGCATTAGAAAAGTAGTTCCCACCTCTTGCTGTGGAACTCAAGAACTATTTGAATTTATTTCTGGCAGATAGTGGTGAAGAAATCATACCACTGTGAGTGGTTTTAGTTTAATGTGATGCACTACTTTCAAACTCTACAGCATCTCATTTCTCTTCAGAATCCATAAAATGGCAGCAATGTGTTATCCTTCCCAACAAGTGAATAGGAAGAATGTGGTAAATTTTTCATATAAACACTTCCTTTGAATGTCGGTATTACTAAGTGTCACCAGTCACAATTAACATTTTTATTAATGACAGCACTGGGATTTTACTAAAATGGTGTCCCTCAAGACAATGGATAACAGTTTAGGAATTCTGTTGAGTCCTTCAGTGCCTTAATGGGTGTCCTCATGTTTTGCTCTCAATGGATCACTGTTTGAACTTCCACCTGGTATTTTAATCTTAGTGAAAAAGCTTTCCTATTTCAGCTGAGCTGCAGTCACTGCTAACTTTTCTGTCCCAAAATAAGTTTGAATCCAGCTGATGTGCAGCTTTTTGGAATACTCTGAGACACAAGTTAATGGTACCTAAAGGAGTGTGTTAACTGCATTGTAGGAAATGATGGGAAACCAACTGGAAGTTTCTCCCCCTCCTTATTTTGGCTTTTTCAAAGGTAGGGATAGGTAGAATGGATTTTCATATCACATGACATTTTATAAATGTAGACTGATTTTGTTAAAGCATTCAGGCAACACACTGAAACTCTGTGCAAGAGAAAAAGCAAGAACAGATCACTGCAGTACTCTGCAATTGGGCCTGAAGAAGACTTTGTGGAAAACCAGATGGACTCAAACTGAAAAAAACTGCAAGAAGCAGTAGCAAAGGATTTAAATCAGGTAAGATTACAAGTGCTTTGGAAGGTTCTGCTGTAGATTCCAAGTTGGCATCTCTTTTCAATCTCAATGTATCTTTACCCGATGCACTGACATGACCCTTTATTCAACCTCAGCTTGGATGACATCTGTGCTACCTTCCAGGAAAGGAATTGTTTTTTGCAGCTCCCTTATTCATTTTGAGAAAAGGATTAAATACTCCCTCTGACCAAGCATACAGGCATGCTAAAGTGAAGCCACTTCATGCTCCTGGCCAAACAAAGAACAAAAATACCCACAATAAGCAAAAGCAGATGGCTTCAGTGGCAGGAAATGAATGAGCCAGACTGCAGGTAAAATGGTTCTCTGAACACATCGCGGAGGTTTGCAATGACAGGTTCTTTGTTATCTGGGGCCTCCCCACAGGAGGCCAGATGTCTTGTGTTGTGAAAGGAGATAGAGATGCTCTTCCTTTTCCTCCCCCTTTAACTTATGGCTGTTTAAGTTACTGCTAATGGAAGCAGAAGCCTGTTTTTCCCTCTTGGTCTCTGATGTTTTTGGAAACAGAAGAGATAGTTAGTGAAAGGGTATTCTGATATGAAAGAAAAGGCCCAGAACTGGCCTTTCCCTCCCCATGACCCTCATTTTAAAGAACAGGGAGGTCAGTGCTGCTAATTGCACTTGAAAGGATTAACCACTTGATTGCTTTCATTTAGTGGAACAAAATTTTCTTTAGTCTCAAAGCTGGAAAAATCTATCAGTGGTATTGAGACACTTTCAGTGTGAGACGGATGACTTGGTTTGGCTTATACCAACACTGACATTAAATAGAGGATTTCAGTATTTTCATACATGGGAGCAAAGGGGGAACTACATCTGCTGCTCAGACAGGACAGATTTGCAGCAGAAATGACAATAACCTTCCTGCCCTCACACAAGGTTATCAGAGGAACACCAACAGGCCACAAGTTACAGATCCTAGGTGTGCCTCTGTCCCTTGGTGTAATGAATGACTTTTGCATTACACTGAGGTTGCAATGGAAGAAGAATCTGAACTCAATTCCTGGACAAAGTGTTCCAAATTTAAAATCTTTTCTGTACATTAATTTCATCTGAGAATTAAAATCAATTTTCTTCTGGAATAGATTCTTAATTCCCATTGTTCAAATAAAGTGAGGTATACACAACTTAAATTTGGAAACCATTTTTAACCTTATGAAACTATTTTCCAAAAGTAACAAAGAACAGCTTATACAAGCTTTTATCTGACCTCTGCTTCTTAAATAAAAAACATGTTTTCAGGGAAATGTGTCTTGGAAGTAACTCCCCCTCTCCCCCCAGATTTTTCTCTCTGGTTCTTGTAAAACATTAGGTCAGTGGGTTCACTTTATTTTTGTTTGTTTAAAGTGGGTGAAAGTTTCCTTCTCAAGCTATTAGACTTGTGTGATTTTAAAAAAGTATATATTACAACAATCTTTGTTTAAGAAATACAAGAACAGATGGAAATGTCAAAAGACTATCAAAATTCACAGCAAAGGAAATAGCATTAATCATTGTAAAAAGCCAAAATAACCTCTCAATAGCAGTAAGAAGCAAAGGAATAAGTAGTGCTGTTTCAACAGCACCGAGACAGGACTGCTGATTTTTCTCACTGCCTGGCACATGAACTCAATACATAGGTAGATGTAAAAATTGCCTTTCTCATTCTGCCTTCAAGCCTGTGTTTGCCATGGTGCTGTACAGGTTGTGCACATGTCATGTGCACTCAGGTAACATAACCAATGTTTCCTTTGCAAATGGGTGTCCACGGAAATGCATTTCATATGCACTCATGCAGAGAAGCATACAAATCTCAAGTATGACTTGAGAGAGTGTATTTGTATCTTGGGTTTGAAGCAATATTAAGAAATTTCAGTATCTTGAAGCATTAAAGAACACAGTACACAGCAGTTGTTTGGGCCTGTATGAATTGCTGGGTAAGTGCGACGAGATTTTCTGGAAGTATTTTTCCAGATACCATTTCTATGCTCACCAGGGTGTGAGTGCCTTCCTAGAGAGTATGCTACAGGTGGTAACAAAGACTTCATTTTTTGTTTAAAAAGTAACCTATTATAATTTTCCAGTCTTGTCACTTTGACAGGATTTACTTTTTGCTGAAGCAAAACACTTCTGAGAGCATTCAGAAGTATTTATCCACCATATATTGTATTTCTAACGAAACACTTTTCTACCTTAAGAATATAATTTTTACCAACATGATTTTTGGTTATAGTATGATAAAAATATATTCATATAATTCTGCTTGTGGAGATACAGCTTAAGTAAGAGCATTGGCAGCACTGGCTGTGCTGTCCTGTATAACTGGATTCACACATGCTGACTCTGACAGCAGCACTGCACATACCAGCAAAGCTTTCATCAGCATGGACAAAGTCTCGTTTATGCTGTTCAGATTTGCACTATTGCTGCAAAAGAAAAAATACACCAGATTCACAGTCTGCCTAATTTAATGAAGTCTTGTCAGAAATGTGCTGAGAACCACCATCTTCTCCATTTCTTGTGGCTGCAAATCACTTGATGTTGAGCCTTGCAAAAAGATCTACTTTTCAGACGACAACTGCAGTGCAATGAGCCCTCTCTGCTGCTTCAAATGCAAGGGTGTGGCATCTACAAACCTTTACTATGACATACCATAGTGGCATTCATTAAGTTAGTGTTCCTCAAATAATATTATACAATAGTAATAAACACTTAACTACATTTGTTTGAAGAAATCTAAACTTACCCAAGAAGCTGAGAATAATCTTAATATAACAGTATGTGAATGGTACTACAGAAATCATACACTGCATAATGATGTTTAAAGAGATCACTTTTTATTACTAGAACAATTTTCCAGAATTAATCTCAAAATACATAATTTGCATTCTATTCAGTAAACATGCCCTTTCATTCTGCCTTGGTGCAACTCTCCCCTCAGTTAAACACCATCCTAATCATTTCTGCAAGCTTTTGATTTCATGAAAGTGAAACTAGTATTGCTGTGTGAAATACAAAAAAAGAAAACACCTGACAAAAATATTAATAACACTAAGAAGCAAACATGCTTGTTCCTTTTTACAGTTAGAGTACACTCCTTATGGCTAGAGAGGTCATGTCCTCCTATCCCCACCTCAGGAAATGTGCTCTTCACAGTGGGCACATCAAGCCTGTAGGTTGAAATGCAGCAATAATCATAAAATCATAGAATTTAAGGGTTGGAATGGACCTTACAGACCTTACCAAAGCCTAAGTGTTTTCAGCTAAGTGACTCTAATCAGACTGCTCATCTGAGTAGTTCAACAACCTCATGTGCAGGATGAGTGCTGCAGCTTACTTTTGGACAAACACTGCAGCCATTATTAAGAGTACAGTCTATTTCTAGATTTCAGTTAGATAAAAATAGTTATGTTTGTGCAGTTTACCATTGCAAAAAAAAAAAGTTTTACACACCTATAGACAAACACCTTACTCTTTTCCTGCACAACACTTGGCATTTTTAATCAATGTGTACATAAATGAAAAGAAAAAAAGCAGATTATCATATTGTCCATTGTAGTTCTCTTTCAAAATCTCCTGATGATAGTCCACAAGGAAATAATAAATTGCTTCTATTGTGGAGAGGTAAGTATCTGGCTTTCCCTTCTGATGACGCCAAAAGCAAGTCTTCCTTGTCTTCAGCTCAACTTGCAGCAACCCTGTCAAAGAAAAGAAGATGACAGGTTACAATGTGGATTGGTGGCCAGGATGCCAAACAAGACTTTAGTTTTGCTTTCTGACTCTGCCACTGGTTTGCTGCTCCCTGCACGCAAATCCTTTCTCTCCCTGTGCCTCCCTTTTTCATCTGTAAACCTGAGGCAATAATTTTATCATCCTTTGTGGACCACTCTGAAATTTGATGAAAAACTGCTCTAAGTACTAGGGTACAATCCTCATATTTGCAACTCAAACTTCCAGGGAATCCTTGTGTTCACAGAACCTCACAGCCCTCAGAGAACTGCAGGGTCTCTACGGATGGCAAGAGTGGAACCCACACCTCCAGAGACTCATCGGTGTTCATAAGGTTATTAACAAACTTCATCTTTTGCAAAGTTGATACCTTTCAAGTGCAAAACAGAATCCCTCAGGCTGTTAGTGTTGCTGAAGTGAGGAATATTTGCTAGGAGCCAGAAACTTTTCATTTATGCTTGTCAAGTACCTGAAATCTCACTGAGATTACTCAGGAGAAAGCAAAACTGAAGCTGGTAATTAATTTTCCTAGGAACTCGAAGCATTCCCACCTGAGATGAAAGAAAAAATATTTTCATGTTCCATACAGACACCAAATTTCTATCTACTACAGTCTCTGTAACTTTTATTTATTAAGATTAATTTTAAACATGTTTCTTGGTTTTATGTTCCTTAAGATGCACAAAGTATTCAAAATTAAAACCACCTGAATGTGTAATCACTTTGTAAACAGGATGGACAGCTGAATTATAACAAAACGCATATACCCATCAATAATATCAGGAGCAGGTTGTAACATTATCTTTTCCTAAATGTCAAAAACTGATACTCTCTCTCACAGGATGGTTTAGGACAAGTAATGGTGTAAGTAACAACATGGCTTAAGAATTGCTGGAGAGTTATGGATGGAGAAGCTTCAGTAAGGTCCATGTTCAGGAGTGCAAACTGGGCTATGGCCCAGCTCTTGGAATTCTACACTTTCTGCCTTCTAGGTTTCATTCTTTCCAGTGTAATTGTAAGATGGATTTAGCTGTTTGCTTTGCAGCTAGTAATGTATGATATCCTGCACAGTAAAAGAATCTCTACTATAATATCTAAAAACCCCCTGAACAACAGGAGATTCTGTCCCTGAATTTAAATGTTATTGTTGCCATTCTGGAAACACAAATTCAAAATAACATAGTCTAAGTATTACCTCTAAAAATCCTATACCTGTGGATGTGAAAAGAGTTAACAGGCAACTGCATTAAGCTTGTTTCGCTTGAGAGTTTTCAATACTTGAATTCTCAGCCCTGACCAAAATGAAAACTTCCATCAAATTCAGTGACATTTCCACCTTAACAGCAGTGAAGTAAATCTGGGGGATGATTCCTCCAATGTAAACTCCCACACAGTTGTGGTCTCAGCCCTGACCAAAATGAAAACTTCCACAGAAGTGTGGAAGTTTGTGTTCACTGTTCCACAGTGAACACAAACAGAGTTCACTGAAGGCAAGACCACAGACACTCCAGAGCTTACCACAAAGGATCAGCTAATTTCAAACATAAAATATTAGGAGGGTTTTTTTAAAAAAGTTGGGTTAAGGGTTGGAGTTTACTGAGCATGTTTCATCTGCTCTGTGTCTGTACACAGCCAAAGTCAATGCTTTGTTACAGATACAGATCCTTCATATCCAAGGTTACAATACTCATGTATCAGCTAATCAAATATTTGGCTAATACAAGTGGATCAAACTTACAGGGAAAAATACCAAAGCAGTCTGTTTCTTCAACAACCATACTGATGCTGCCAATAAGCTCCCTCACTCATGTGAGAAAGTAATCATTAACACTGGATTCAACTGTTTCCTTTCTGATCTAGGGATCACTTTTAACGAAGTCATCAATCCTAGACATTACCAACTCTCAAATATTTCCTGTCTTTAACACAATTGATTTAGTTTTGCTTTCTAAAGATATATGACACCACTTTTCCAAGAAGACACAGAAGTATTTTTTTGTCCAAGTTCCCTAGGCTTTTTTTTTTTAAAGATTGATGTATTCATTTGCTTTCTCTTACAGTACAATTTGCTAGATTTACCCTCTCTGTAAATACAGGCTTACAAAACACAAGGCTTTGCTTTACATTTTCTTGGCTTCATTATTGTTTCCACCCAGTATTTCTTGTAACTTAATCTTTCTGAATAAGTATTGCAATTACTTTTTATTTGGAATTATGAACACTACTTTTTGAACTTTAATATATGAGGAATATTTTGTTGGATGGTAACTTCATTTGCAATTGAACTGAAAGATGACAACAGTTCTCTACTTTTTATGTGTATACAACATAAAAATTTCATCAGTTTATGCTTGAGGAAACTCTGCCCCACTCATCCTGGAAGTCAAAACTGCAATCTCTAAAACGAGTATTAATGCAACTTCTGTTCTTTATGACAGGCACTAAGGAGAGCAACACATGGACAGGCTGTGCACACTGTTACACCTCATGTGGGGATGGTAAAATTCTCTCCATAAGAGCAACTGACTTGCATGACACTATCAAACCTTACAGCAATCCCCAAATGTGCTCAGGAAAATAGGACTGAAAACCAGCTGTAACAGAGATGATCTAGAAAAGAGGGGAAGAGTCCACCAAATCAGCATTGTCATGGGGAAACCGGAAACCATGAGAGCTCCAAGTAACACTAATCATGAATTTTTGGCTGAAATACTGCCTAAGCTTCCATTGAGTCTTCAGTTGCCCTGGCTGCCTATTACTTTTCTTGAATTCATCCTCTTAAAATACATTCCAAATGCTTCATAGTAACTTGCAACCTGCAATTACTCAAATCTTTACCGTAATACTTCAATGTAGTTGATAGAGTATGTTTTGTGTTAAACTAAATACTTAGTAACAGGATTTTAATTAGCCAATACATTATCCTAACATGTGGGATTCTTTAACAAACTGACTAGACAGCAAAGCAACATTCATCTTCCATGTCTGTGAAATTCCTTGTAGGGTCCAGTGCAAAGCAGGCACTAGTAGTTATATCTATTACCTAGAAACTTGACAGCCCAAACTAAGTGCACCTGTTTCACTAATTGAAAGTATTTTCAAACTCCAATTCGTCTTAAAGGAAAGGGAATGCTATTGCTAATTGTTTTGTCTTTTGTGGTTTTAATCAGAATGCTTAAATGTAACCTTCTTGTAATGAACCTGAGACAAAAAACTTTTGCAGAATTACCATGTTTCTGCTTTCAGAATTGGGAGGGTGTGGAAGGCAAGCAGACATTCCCTTTTTGTCTGGAAATTAGGGAGGTCATTTAAATGCCCATGCAACAACTTCACTAGGAGGAGTAACCAAGCCATGACACAGGTGCACTGTATGCCCTAAACCCCTCGTTCACCCTCTAGGGGCCTGTCTGCCACCAACGTGTACAGAAATGCTCCCCTGGGTCTCCTGGGAAAGCAGATAACCACCTGCAAAGGAAATATTTCTGGCTTCCTTCAGAGGTCATTCAAGCTACTGTTCTTCTATTGTCTGACATGACAGCTTCCTTTCTGTGAGACTGAGGAAATTTGTCCTGATAAGAGACCTCAGAGAAATAAATATAAATGCTTTCTTAACACCAGTATTATCATGTCGCAAAACAAATTATAGGACATGAAAAGTAATGAAATCTTTGGCTCAAGAAGTTTTGTACAGCACTGAAACAGGCTGTAAAGTCTTTCACATGCACTCAGATGTAGGACTAGGTATGTGCCTATATCACACTCAGGTCTGTTACAGACATACATTTCCTTTAATCATTTCTGCAGCAATAACACCTCAATATCAACTTGTTTCTTTTTACCTTGAAGTCGTTCATCAGTTATTATCTTGTTAGTTTGATTCCAGGTACTGTCAATAAAGATTATTTTCTTCAGCTGACTGCCTTCACTCCTGCTGCTTGAGATGCATTCATCTGGATGTTTTCCTTCTTTAGGTTCTATTTTTGCTTGCTTAAGAGGTGGCTCTCTGCAACGGTCATCGTCACGACCATAGACACCTTTCTTAGTGTGCTTTTGGAGATGGAAAGCAATATCTTTCACTGAAACTGAATCAGGGCCAGGAAATACAAGTGCTATCTGAATGAAGAAAAGAAAGAGATCTGAGTGTCAACAAAATCTAATAAAACACCAGGAATTGTTTCAGTAAAGAACAGAAATTTTCTATCCCTGTCTATGAACATTTAAGTCTGGACAAGCCAAAGAAGTAGCTCTTAAAAAATGTTTTCCTTGATGGGTCATTCCTTGAAGAAAATAACATTTCTATGAGATATGTCTATTATCCTCTTCATGTAGTCAAACAGTAATGAAAATGTTAATTATGATATCAAATGTGTAAATAGTAGATTTCAGAGTAAATGAACACACAAATCATGTAACGATTAAATTCTTATAGGAATGACTAAATGATTAAAGGAACAGAACATATAAAGTTCCTATCTCACTTTTTTCAGGCTCTGTGCTGTGATAGACAAGAGTTGCATTTTAGTAGTTCTTTTCTGCAATAGTGAATGTTAAATATGTAAAAGAAGTTTAAATACTGCAGCTACTGAATCTGATGAGCACAACACAACTGCTGTTTAACTTGCTGCAAGTTGAATACTTCCATATGTTTGGGCAAAATATTCTTTATAGGACACAATGAATCTCCATTCTGTAAGGTGGGGAACATGGGAAATTCAAGGTGATAAGGCAGTGCTACAGTTTTTCTAAGCTTTGGAGGACAATCCCTAAGCACTGTACGTTTGTAGACCTAAGCTCTGAGGGAGCACAAGATGGACTGGATTAAAGGAACAGTAGTTTCCTCCCAGCAGTGCTGTACCACTGCAGGAGGAAGCTACATCTCCCCAGCACGAAACCTGACTTATCTATGTAAAATTTCTTACTTCGTGTCTCTTTCCTTCATATTCTGGAATGCAAGGGTATGTGTAAATTGTGACATCATCAGGTGCCAGGAGCTTAGCATGCACAGCAGTGCTTTTGCCATCCGTCTCGTTTGGGTGTTTGATAATGTCAATCTTCAAAGGTAACTACAGTTAAAAAAAGAAAAAGACAAAGTAAAAAGCAATATTTATGGTCATATATACAGGTACAAACATTTGTACAAAAACTGATGCGAAATTCAGGAGAAATCCCTATGGATGTGTGATTAAGATGTATCTGACAATTTTTGTTTTAATAGGCTTAGAACTAAACCAGAGACAAGTGACAAGTAGCACATTTGACGTTCCCTGTTTATGGAAGTGCCTCAGTAAGCAATGAATGCACTTTGGAATGCTGCAGCAGTAGTGTGGTACAACCTCTAGAATAGAGTCAATAAGGTAAATGAGATGTGGTCTTACTTGGAGCAATGTAATGGCTCTATGAATACTCATCTGTATTAGATATTCACCCAACTGCAAAAATGGCCATTTCAATGAAAATAAGCCTAAATTCACTAGGTCAAAGTTCCAAAGTACTTCTAAAGTATTTTCAGGATGCTTTCAAACTCCAGTGTTTCAAAATGCATTTAAATTCCTACGTGATTTTGCAAAATGTCTCAGTCCTCTTTGATGGTTCCTCCAAGTATTTTAGCTAAGAGGCAATACATTGTTTATATTTTAAGAGTGGTTATCTGAATTGTACAACCATGACATTTAGGAATGCCTTTTAGCTCACATTTTATGTAAAATTTACATTTGGTTACAGAAAAATCATACTTTTTGTTCCTCATATAATCTGTTCTGGCCAGTTATTAGAAACTGAAGAATGACCAAGAACACTGTAAAGAAACTTTGAAGAACTAAGTGAAAACATAGTTGCATGAGAAGCTGAGTGACTTCAGCTTATATTCTCATCTAGTAGACCCATAAATGTTTATGTGAGGACTGGAACATTTTCAGTGTTTGTACATGTAATTCCTCAAATAAGAACAGTAATTTTATCTAACTGTAGTTTATCCATACTTATAGCTGTGTTAAAGATGAATGTCTGTAAAGAATGAGTCAGAAAACAAATGGTCACAGATTGTTCCCTGCCCACAGCAACTCAAAGGCACAAGAATATTGTTACAAAATCTATATTAACCTTCACAGTTGGAATTTCTTTGATGGGGACAGTTTCAACAGGCACAAAGCATGTGTAACAATAAAACATCCTTGAACTACTGCATCGGGGGCATTTTGATCTCCCACTCTTCTTTGCCTTTTCCAGCACCTCCTGGGATGCTAACTGTAACTGCTGAAGAGGGTTATCTGGAAATGATGATGGAGTCTGCAGTTCCAGGCTTTCCAAACATTCGGTAGTTCTTTTTGGTCCTTGAGAGTTTTCTTCATTTGAAAGTGTAGATGAGTTTAAAGACATGGTTAGCTGAAACAGACAAGATGCTGGTAAATAAAAATCCAATCACTATGAACTAATTTATTCTGTATTGTCCTATTTAACAAAAAATACTCAAAGAAGGTATTTCCTACAACTGAAAGACTAATAAAATCATCTGATTGAGTTGTTACAGCACAAAGAGCTCTGATGAGATTTCAGGAGAGCTTGAGATAAACAGCTGGAAAGAATCCAAGATCTGCACCCTTAATGCACATATACACATGTTCATAATTTTCCCAAGTTATCCCACTCACTCAACTCCCGCAGAAGTATCTTTTTTCTGTTGTTAGGATCAGTGCCTAGAAGTTTATGAAAACACTGGTAAACAGTGTTTACCTGGATGAGCAATCCCCTTAGTCTCCTGCATGACTACTGAGTTACATCCACAGGATAGAAATTCCCCAGAGAAAAGTTAATTGCACAAATTTAGATCTCTACCCTGAAATGTATTGTGTGGGGGCCAACCAGACAACCTGAATGAAATCCTCCTTGGACAGAACTTCTGTACTTGCAGGGGCAAAGCTTGAGGCTGAAAACAGAAGAACTAAGGCAGGGCTTTGGTGCTCCATATCCCAGATGGTAAGTGCTGACCCAGTCTAGACTCCTTCTGCAATGCTGTATTTACTTAGTAACACCGATGGATTTTTTCCAGGCTTTCCTCAGGACAGATGTCTCACCCTCTGCAGCTGGCACGGAATTCTCACTGTCTGCTCTGAGCAATGCCTCAGCAACATGACCATGTGCCCACACCCAATCCATGCCCTGGTGTGGCTGATGCTCACTGCCACACTCAGGATCAGGGAAGCTCTTCTGACCAGATCACTTGGGCTCTGGTCCCCAGAGCAACCCCCAAGCAGGAGCTTGCAGGAGTTACAAACTGCCCTCTGCACTTTGTGCTGCATCACTTGAAATGAAAAAAAGTTATTCTCAGTATTTACTTTCAGCTAATTTAGGTTTACTTTTTTGTGTCAGGGATCACACTTATGAAATGATGTAACCAGTCATGTTTAACAAAGGCAAACAGTAATTCCTGAGATGTGATCCAAAATTGTGTTTAAATAAAATCAAGTGTAATTTAATTGAAAAATAACAAAAGCAAAAAAAAGACTCAGCTACTTTGCCAATAAAAATTTTAAATTAATCCCAGGAAAAAAAATTGTTATTTTGTGGTAAAACGAAGTACTCATGAAGCTATGATACCTTCTCCTCCCCTGCTAACAAGGTCTAACTCTGGGAAGGTCAGGGATGTCCACTCAAATAAACACAAATCTAATATGCATACAAGTTCTATAGTGCAATTTGCTTTCAAATATCTCTTGAGATAAAGCAAATACACTCTGCATTATCGAGTTTCCTCAAGCAGCAGAGAGGGCGAGAGGCCCTGGAATTGGACATGCATTCCCAGCCTGCAAACAGACTCGTTCCAGCGCAGAGTCCCAGGGCCCCGCGGCGCTCACCCTGACACCCTGCAGCCATCTCACCGCGGGAATATACTGCTCCAACGGCACAGGGAAACCCGTGCGGCCTCAGAGCAACAGCTATTCCCGACTGACACTGACCCTTTCGAAAAAAAACAGCAACAGAACTCACGCGACTTGTAAGAGCCAAATCTCATTTCAGACTTTAGAAAAACACTGGTAAACAGTGTTTACCTGGATGGGCAATGCCCTTACTCTCCCGCATGACCACTGAGCTACATCTATACTGTGGATAGCAACTCTACCCACAGCCAATCTCCCAACC